TAAACGTTGGAAAAAAAAAATTTAAAAAAAAAATAAATAAAATAAAAAATAAATGAATTTAGGGGGAAAAAACATACTCTAGAGCCTCAAAAATTAAAACAGTGTGAAAAAAATTAAAACAGTGTGGAATTGGAACATGAATAGAAGAGAATAAAAATCACCAAACAGACGATGGCAATTTTATATATATGATAAAGGCAGCTTCTCAAATCGATGGGAGTAGAAAGGAACTTTCTAGTCAATGACATAGGGACAATTAGGTATCCATTTGGAAACAGATGAAATTTGATCCACACTTCACATCATAGATGAAGATAAAATCCAAATAGATAAAGATTTAAATTTAAAAAAACAATACCATAGAAGTACTAAAAGAAAACTTTGAAGTGAAGAAGACGTTTCTAACTATGACTCAAATTTCACAACGCCAGAATCAAAAACTTCCCATGGTAAACAACAACACACAGACACCATAAGCAAAGTCGAAAGGCAAAGGACAAATGGGAGGAAATATTTGTACCTCATATCACAGACAAAGCCAATGTTGAACTAGTTCCTCCAGATTGAAGAGAAAAGGGCAATAGCCAATACTTTAAAGAGGGGGCTGTGGAACTACATGAACAGATAGTTCACAGAAAAACAACTCTAAACGGCCCTTAAGCATCTGAAAAGATGCTCAACTTCCTTCATAAAATGAACAATAAAATTCAGATTTACAACTGCACGGACGGGGTGCCTGGGTGGCCCAGTCGGCTGAGCGACCAACTCTCGATTAGGATCTCGTGATCCTAGGGTCGTGAGATGGAGCCCCACGTTGGGCTCTGCCCTGAGGATCGTCTCTCTCTCTCTCTCTGTTCCTCTGCCCTTTTCCCCTGCGCACGCATGGTCTTTCTCTCTGTCTCTCTCTAAATAAAACTAAATAAAACAATAAAAAAACTGCACTGAGATTCTTTTTCTCACGTGTCAATTTGGCAGGAACCCCAAAGTTTGACACCATGCTCTGTCAGTGAGCCTGGAGAAAACAGGCACTCTCATACTTTGTCGGTGGGACTGCACACTGGGACAACCCTTGTACTAGTTTGGCAGGTCTCCCGTAACAAAGTGCCGGAGACAGGGTGGCTTGTAAGAACAGAAATTGATTTTTTCACAATTTCCGGAGGCCTCAAGTCTGAGATCAAGGCACTGGCAGGGTCATTTCCTTCTGAGGCCTCTTTCCTTGGCTCGTAGGTGGCCGTCTTCTCTTCCCTGTGCCTTTACATGGTCTTTCCCTTGAGAGTGTCTGTGCCTTCATCTTCTTTACTTATAGGGACATCCATCATACTGAACTAGGGCCCACACCAATGGCCTCATTTCAATTTAATTATCTCTTTATAGACCCTGTCTCCAAATACAGCCATATTCCAGGAAACTGGGAGCTGCGACTTAAACACATGAATGTTGGGGGGACACAATTCAACCCGTGACAAACTTCATGGAGGAAGATTTTGAAATAGCTATCAAAATTACCAATCTGTAATCCTTGACCGGCAATCCTACTTCTGGAAACCTATCCTACAGCTATACCTGCACACATATAAAATGACATACATATGAAGATATTCAGCTCAGCCTTGTTTACAATAGCCAAAGGTTGGAAACAACCCATGTCCACCAATAGGGAACCGTTTGAGTAAGCCGTTTTACCTAAGGCATGCAAAATCATATGGCTGTCAAAAGAAGCGAGGAAGCGTTCCAGGCACAGCTAAAGGGAGAACACAATGATATGCGAAGGAAGAAAAGGAAGGCAGGGACCAGTGCAACAGCACGCTACCTACATATAAGAAATACTTTCGTACTTGCTTGTACGGTATTTGCTTAAAGACACACTGCAAGCTAAATAACAACAGCAAAACCCTAATGCAGTTGGTTACTGGTAGATGTGTACTATCAGCAACCCGTGACACTATTCGCCGGGCACTATTCTGCCCAGAATAGAGGGGGCAGGAATGGGAGTGAAGCCTTTCTGTATATTCCTTTTAACACAGTTTTCATTTTTAAGTCATGGAACTTCAAGCAATTAAAATCATTATGTATAAAGCCTCCTAGTTCGGCCATGAAATTTCTAGTACAACCTGAGACCAACTCTAATCCCTTTACTTTGGAGACAGGGCTGTTCTCCAGTTTATCGAAGCTTCACCTAGGGTTTTCACATTGTGCTTTTGTGAAATAAAGAAAATCCCCAGGGCTTGCGAGTGCTTTCCCTCTTTCTCTTTTCCCTTGAAGAAAGGAACTAGTTTAAGAGGGCTAGAGAGAGTCCACTTGGATTTGACGTTGACCAAATTGATCGCCAGCGCCGCGCAGCACAAACGCCCTTGGGTGTGCATCACTTGGAGCAAACCGAAGTATGCCCTGCTGGGGGGGGGGGGCCTGGGTGGGGGTGCACTCCCCCCACCCCACCCCCAGCGCACCGCATGCAGCTGGAGAAAACCCCTCTTCCTGTCTACAGCTCCCACAGCACTCGGAGCCTGCTCGCAGCCCAACGGCCTCTCCAAGAATGCTACATTTAAAAGTGCAGTTTTTGGATGATTCCCAGAAGATTTTTGTGGTTGATGTAAGTGGAAATCACATTGCTATTATTCCTTTATTGTTCATTCAATAGTGGTCATTTGTGGGCAGCCCATTAGCCGGCGATGTTAGGTCTTCTGTAGGACTGAATGAAGGAGGACTGTGGTTTTTAGCTTTGGAAAAAGAAGTCTGTATTGAATATCACAGTGTAGCTCGTGTTTTCCCATTAACCTTTCTTCTAGAACAGGTTCTCTTTTCTCAAGGGACAACAAAAGCGAGTTTGGAAGAGACGCTAAATATTTGTAAAAAGACAAAGCAGCAAGAACTGATTCATCGAACCCAGAGAGGTATTAGTGCGCATTGAAATAATCTGTGAGTCTCACCTCAGGAACATTTGTGCGGAGAAAACCGTGGTTCTGAGGGAAAGGAGAAGGGGGAAGGTTACCCTCCTTTTCTGAAGGAAACCTACGGAAGGGGGTAGAATTTATGCAGCGGTAATGAGAACTTCAGGAAGTAATGACAAGTATGAAGAGAAAAATAGGATAAGAGACTATTTAGTTTGATTTAGTACTTATAGTTCAGGGTTCTTAATATAATTCCTAGCTACGAGATGATTGCGTACAATTATACCTCATCTCTTGAAGGAAGAACAAATGTATTAAGCACATCATTTGGAGCTCATCTTCCAGAATCTTAAGATATGTACATTTTGATGTAAGGATTTATGTAGGAGCATTTTGAAATGTTCTATGATTTTATTTGAACAAAAGATGCTATTTGCTCTGATATTTATATTAGCCACTAACAAGGAACAAGTTGTTCATTTTCTTTGGATCCGTACAAAATGCTGGTTGTTTTCTTTTACACATAAACTAACAACTGCTGTTGGGTGTGTGGGTAACCCGCTTTTCAAATGAGTATTTCATTTTTATTTGAATCATGTGCTTTGTGGGTGATGACTTCATGGCTTCAGTGGCTGTTTTGCTCTCTCTTCCTTTCCCTTTTATTTGCAAAAGGCATTTCTAGGTCCACAGACCCGAATGACTTGTTTTTGCAGCAAATAGCCTCCATTAGAGGCATGAGGCATTTCCTATTCTTTCTTGGAACGCTATTTGAATGGCGGAAAATGTCTTTTCGGCAGTTTATCCATTCGCAGGCCGGTGGTGTTTGCTCACAGTGTTCCAGGACCCGAATTAGCGAGCTGGGTATTCAAAAGACACTGCTTTAGGCTACATTTTTTATAGATAATCCAAGCAACTCAAAGAGAATTCTTTGACAAAAAGTGACAGAAGAGCTTTCTCAATGTGTAGCTTAAATTCAGATCCAATTAAATGGGGCGGGGGGGGGGAGGCAGAGTACCGTAGCTTTGTAACATTCACCTTCTGAGGAGCTGACTCCAGCAACTTGGAGGCAGCATGATTTCGCTTCAGATCAGTTTGTCTCTTTCCAGCTGCAACACATTGTGTTCCTTTGGAAGACAATGGGAGAGATTTGATACCCAGCAATTCGGGTGTCACAGCATCTGATCCCTTTTGCCCTGGGAAGGCTGCTCTGTAAGTAGCAATCGTGGTGTCACCAAGAGTGGCAAGCGCACTGACTGCAGTCCCATGAGCAGCTGTGTCCCGAGGGGAGTGGAACCTTAGGCTAGCATCCATTCATCCAACAGGATCTTTTCTCCTTAACAACAGTAGACTGATGATGAGGAGGAGGGGTGATGATGATGATGATGATGATGATAGTAGTGAGTCACCAATGGACCGCACTTTAAAATTTACAAAGCAATCTTACGTCCATTCATTCGTTTGATCCTGCATTCCGCCCTGTGAGTGAAGGTAGGGGAAAGGCTCATCTTTCCCCGTTTTGCAAATTAAGAGGTAGGGGTTCAGGGTGCTTAAGTGATTTGTGCAAGATTATGCAGCAGGTAAATGCAGAGTTGGGACTTCCAATCCAGAAGTCTCTCCACTACTCCATGTACAATCGAATCCAGAAGACTCATCTGTCAGTAGCCTTCTAGTCCTGTCATATGGCTCATGCACATTATTTATTTTCTGTTGCCATCAAAGGCCATAGAATTTGGTATACAGTGAGCCTTCGACGACTATTGTAAGCCAATTAGTAGATCCTTCCTTCCTTACCTGTAGATGAGGAGCTATGTGAGCAAGTGGTTTCTAGAGGTCAAGGATACCATGGTCTGAATTTTTTCATTAATTCGAAAGCTTTAAAAGGTCCCTCAGGGGGCACCTGGCTGGCTCAGTCGGTGGAGCATGTGACTTGGGGTTGTGAGTTTGAGCCCCATGCTGGGTGTAGAGATTACTTAAAAATAAATATTTTAAAAAGGTCCCTCAGCCCTGTTAATAATTCCTTAAAATGCACCCCAGCACCATACCCTCAGGGACTTTGGTTGGGGATAGGAAAAAAAGCAACCTAAACATATTCTCTTCCATTAGTGCTAATTTCTTAAACAGGATGAAGAAATACTTGGAACCATAATGGAAAGAACCATTAGCAGCTAAAGAGAGTCACACAGAGGGGCTTTTGATACCAAAATTGACTGAAGTCTCAAGAGGCATGGATCAGTCCCAGGGAGAATTTTCCTTTAAGATAAAATTTAAGAAAATAATTGGCTGCATGGGGAAAAATAATGGAGTCTTGGGCATTGGTGTTGATTTTACAGAAAGTGAAGTAGTAGAAGTACAAAAAGGACCCATGATCAGATAGAATAATGTCTCCTGGGTAAGACTAATTGACATCCAGAACCCTTTGTGTTTACTCCACCCCCGGTAACATTATCTTGATGAATTTGCTGGTGTCCGAGATCTGGCTTAGGGCTCCAGACTCAGAAGCGTGATTTGTCAGCACTGCACAAGAACAGAAGTCAGAGATGATATTTACAATTGGGATGCCAGTGGCACCATTTACGGTGGGACTTGGGACACTAGGGTCCTCTCAATCAGTTACATTGGATACCATGTGTCAGAAGAGTCAGATTTAAAGGAATCAGACCCATGATGCTAATATTCGATGGGCTGCTAATGCAGCCATTTCCACAAATGCCCTGTCACTGAGACCTTTAAGTCACCCATTCATTCATTTGAGTAATTTCATTAACAAATTATTCCTGAGGTCTTAATGTCTTACAGTCTCTGTTCTGGATACAGTAGACCGTACCATACGGGTAGGTAAAGTTCTTGAACAAGGTCACACTCTCCCCTGGACAGTGCTACCAATTTTGGCTTCAGACATTCCTTTCACTCCCCTTGCAAGATTGACAAACTTCCTGGGTTATTGACCTGTCTTTGACTTGTTAATGCCGTCAGTTAGCTTGCTGGGAAAAGTGGTTGGCCCCGGAGACATCTTGGATCTTTGAGGTTTCTTTGCATATCTATACTCCGAGGCACTATGCCTTGATTTTATAGATGGACTTTCTGAGGCTGTTAGCCAGCCTTTTCCTTTACGCATTCCCAAGAGTATTTGGGGGATGCAGGATAGATATGGGACTGCAGACTTGCTGGAATGTGCCTACTAAAATGTAATCCAATGAGGAAAATGTGTTTTAGTGAAAACCTCATCGTACTTTTCAAGCTGTCATATTTATTTAATAAAATTGATCATTGTCAAATATCAACACCACTCCTAGTGTTGCACTGATCATGGGCTGTGTCCTTCAGCAATAAAGAAGGACTCTACAGAATGATGATGAGACTGGACAGGCAGGAGGAGAAAGGAAATGAGGCAATTACTTTTTTAAATAACGGCAGATTTTAGCATAAATTCAGTTGTGCCTCTTCAACCTGAGGATGAGGACATTTAAAAAAAATTTAAGTTTATTTATTTATTTTGAAAGAGGGAGAGAGAAAGAGAGAGAGCACGTGGGGGACGGGGAGAGAGAGAGAGGGAGAGAGAATCCTAAGCGGGCTCTGAGCTGACACAGCACAGAGTCCCATGCTGGGCTCGAACTCATGAGATCGAACTGAGATCATGAGCTGAGCTGAAACAAAGACTGGACGTTTAACCGACTGAGCCACCCAGGTGCCCCAGGACCAGGACTTTTCTTAACAGAAAAAGGGAGGATGAGACCAAAGCTGGAGCCTTCTGAGCTCTCAAAAAGAGTAGGGGACGTCAGGTGTCTAGCTTGAGGATGAATCCTCCCAACACCTACAGGTACCAGGAGCAGTAGTGTCATTGTAGGATGACCTTCTTTTAAGCCTGAACTGTTTATCTCCGGGTTAGATGGAGAATTTCAAGGCTAATAATAATCTCAGCACCATATCTGACACAGTCCTGTCTGATATCCTCCGCATCTAATGCAATTCTGTCTTTATGGAAGCATATGGTGGAAGGGAAGAAAATCTGCTGTTTGTGAATTTCCAAAAGCACACTTCTTTTCGATGGTTTCTAGAGCCTAAGTCAAATGAAGAGGTTTAAATCATTTCTTTTTTTTTTTAATTTTTTAATGTTTATTTATTTGAGAGAGAGAGAGAGAGAAAGAGAGAGAGACAAAGTGCAAGCACGGGAGGGGCAGAGACAGAGAAGGAGACAAAGAATCTGAAGCAGGCTCCAGGCTCTGAGCTGTCAGCACAGAGCCCACGCAGGGCTTGAACCCATGAACTGTGAGATCATGACCTGAGCCGAAGTTGGATGCTTAACTGACTGAGCCACCCAGGCACCCCTAGAAGTTTGAGTCGTTTCAAGTCTTACACTTACCTGATTGCTAAGTGAAGGTATTGGCCACTGCAGTGGGTATCCAGTGGCTTACCCAGTGAGAGAATGTAGTGAGTCAGCTTACTTCATTCCCTTGGGAACCCATCATAAAGGCCGCCATGCCTCATTTTCTGACAGACGCAGAGAGGGGACAGTGCCAAGATGGAGCACTATTCAAGCTAAACAAGAAAGCAAAGAACTGTCCAGGGATTTTTCTATTGGTAGTGGTATGTACCCTTGGGATGTTTGTCTAGGAGCTGGTTTGTCAATTTATAATGATGAGGGATCTTTTGTACCTCTGTCAGTAGTGAAATCGATACCCTACCCCTTCATAACGCAAAGTTT